CAATGGTTGTGAAGAAATGAGCTGTACAATATAAATATGAGAAAATGGTAGGAAGTGAAGATTATGATGATAAAGAGGACAGATAACAATCCACCCTTGTCTTGCATAGGTCAAATGTTCAGGGAAGCATCCACATCAGTTCCAAAAAGTAGCAGTTCTTTGAAAAAAGCTGTCTGAGCAGAACTTTCTCTTTACATTTGGAACATGGGGGGAAATGAGGGTGATTCAACTCCATGGATGTAGCATGGTAACTCCTAGCTGTAAATATCTGAATTGGTGGGATTTAAGAATGACACCAATCTGGATATTTGCCCTGGAAATAGAGACAGAGCGATCGTAGGCTTGCAATGCTGCATCTGTGAGAAAATATTCCCTCTAAAAATCATGTAAACTATTCAGTTTTCTCCAGTTATGATGAACATTTCCACTTTTATTTATGCCCCATGATTTGAACGTCTATCAGATTTCAACTTCACTCCAGACATTAAGTGGAACTCATGTGTACGATCCATAACTAAAGGTGTTGAAAAAATGCTTGGCTCATTCTTTATCTCCTGAAAATACCGGATGACTTCTGCCATGCTTTATTTTTACAAGGGACAGATTAGATGAAAAACAGAATATTGCTGTCAGATCAGGGCTAGAGGTGCATAATCCTCACTTTGCAGTCTTGATAGAGTTCAAAATCATATATGTGTTTGCAGTGCGAGGGATGAAGTATCCACACTGCAGCTTCCTTCTCACAGACATATTGGTACAAACGCATCATGACTATTGTTAATTTCATGGTAAATGTTAAAATGAACTTCATTCTTTAGTTCTACTTGTTCAGACCTTTAGAGATAGGACACATTATGCTACTTCCATAGAGTTGAATCATCCTCATTTCCTATGTATTTCAAATGTAAGGAGAAAGTTTCAGTTTTTTTTCACAAGAACTATTATGGATGATTCCCTGAACACCATAATCTTAACCTCTTCAAGTCATTGGTCAATAGTTATCTATCCTTATAATCTTCATTTCATATCATTCTCTTTCATTCATATCACAACCATTTTAACAGTAACCCACTACCTTGAATGGCTCTCAAGTCTTGCAGATGAAGTCTATTACCTTAAAAATTTGTTGTAATAGAAAGAAAAAATGAAAAAGTTATTATAAGGGTAATTTCTTACTTGATATTCCATATATAGTTAGGAATTCCTAGGAAATGGTAAAAAAAGACACATACCTGAAAAACAAAAATTAAAAGAAAATAATTCAAATGAAGAATGTATATATGCATATGGGTGTAATAACAAAAGTTCACGGTTTCTGATCATAAAAAATTAAATAAGAAAGGAAACAAAAACAGGAAAAAAGACAAAAACTGGAAAAAAACTAAAACAGGAAAAAAAAGACAAAAACTGGAAAAAAACAGGAAAAGAAGACAAAAACTGGAAAAAAAACAAAAATAGGAAAAAAAGACAAAAACTGGAAAAAAAAACAAAAACAGGAAAAAAGAAAAAACTGGAAAAAAAAAGAAAAAACTGGAAAAAAAAAACAAAAACAGGATAAAAGAAAAAACTGGAAAAAAAAACAAAAACAGGAAAAAAAGACAAAAACTGAAAAAAAAAAAAAGTAAAAATAGGAAAAAAGACAAAAACTAGGTAAAAAACAAAAACAGGAAAAAAGACAAAAACTGGAGAAAAAAAACAAAAAACAGAAAAAATGGGAAAAAACAAAACTGGAAAAGCAAAAACAGAAAAAAAACAAAACTGGAAAAAAAAGAAAAGAAAAATGGAAGAAAAAAAGAAAAAACTGGAAAAAAGAGAAAAATGAAACAAAGTAAAAACAATAAAATAAACAAGACAAAAAGTGCAGGAAACTGACAGTCATGATCAGTCAGAAGTGCACTGGATGTTTATGTATTAATAAATATACTTTTTTTTCCTCACCAGTAGAACAACTGAATTTCATGCACAATGCAATGTGCAGGTGTTGAATTGTGACTGACTGTTACATAATTAAAATATGTTAAATATATTGGATTATCATAAAGGTGGGGTGGTCCATATTTTATACAGGGATTTTTGTTAAAAAAAATCAAACTCTCTTTTGTATTTAGAATAAACATAAATATAAAGAAAAGAAAAAATGTTGCCGCCCTGTGTCTTTTCTATAAATAATTTCCTGGTAATTGTTCAGATGAGCTCTTCACTATTGTAACTAAACTTCTTAAATTTAAGCAGTGTACTAGACTAGCATCAAAATCTCATCAATTTAAACTTGAGCTGGCTAGATGAATTTAAGTTCTATGCTAACTGTTTTTCTTGCACTTCTGGCTTGTGGATGTCCCATCTGGCTTCATGCTTTCCAGCCAACTTTAATCTGCAAAAATTTAAATGCAATGTCAATCTCATAACTGTCCTCCTGGTTCTCTTTCTGCTCATCTATATAATAAATGCAAATGTCAGTGTATCACTGTGTCACACTTTTTCAATTAAAGGCAAACAATTCTCTAACTTTCAATATCTCATGTTACAGAAATTTTTGATTTTCATTACTGTGATTTTTTTTGCAACAATTTTTTTTGTATGATAAATTTGGGAATAATCAAATTTAAGTGTGGAATCCAGTGAAAAAATAAAAATAATTGTTTGTACAGAAAGTAAGGACCTATGTACATCAAACTGTCTTTAAATTAAGTGATGGCAGAAGAATTAACATTGAACTTTTAAAAGGTAAGCTTAAATATTAATGCAATGATCAATTTTGAGTTCTTATGTAATTTATTGTTACCTGTCGCATATGGCAGCAGTATGCCTCGCAAAAAGAAATCTCCACTGACAGAGGACCAGATTGCAATCAAAAGAGCCAAGGCTGTAGGGAAGAAAAGAAAGTCCCGTGCAAATGAAAATCCAGATCTAATGGCAGCCAGGAGAGATTTCAATGATGAGAATATGCAAAAGATTTAGGGACTCCTGAATAAGCCGAAAGCCCAATCAAGAGCCCTCTGCACGAGCTAGCTTAAATGCTGCTTGATAGGGCGGATTTCAAACTAGTTACCAATATTTCTGTTCCTAATTCTTCCACACTCTTTAACCCCTTGTGGCTTTACTGCTTTGCATGGGGTGATACCAATTGAAAGAAAAAAATAATAATAATAATAACAACACACACACATTCACACAAATTACTTACTACAAGTTACAAAGGTAGAAATGTAAATATACATATATATGTATTTAAAAAAAATATAATACAAATTATTTGCTATTCTCATGGCACATCTACATATGTAAATTATTATGGATATATATATATATATATATATGAGAAAAGTGTATACACAACACCACCCGTATACATACATATGTCATATCTGAAACTGCCCACATATGTTTACATATGTATGAGTCCCGACGGACGACCAAGTATGTATATGTGTCTGCATACTCCATTAGGCGTATGAACATACATCGATGTTTGCGTTAGTACGATGACACAATGACGATGTTTCCCCCACCACTTCCATAACACCAATACACGCAATCTACATAAACCCAAAATTAAAAAAAAATTAATCAGTTTGTCTGACGATCGCTAAAGTGTGAAACCCAGGGTCACAAACTCACATCTATCCAACCAAATATATATATATATATATATATATATATATATATATATATATCATTAAATAATATAGACAAGTGTTGTCTACAATATGAAAAGAATTTACATAAATTAAATAGACAACACTTGTCTATATTATTTAATGAAACGTGCATGAATGAAAAGTTGCTGCCTAAATACAATAATATATATATATATATATATATATATATATATATATATATATATATGACTGCCATAAAAAGACAAGAATTATTTTTATTACCACTCATGATGATAATAGATAAAAAAGTAAAACTGAATTATGGCCTAGCTAACAGGTTTTGAACCTTGCTCAACAGAGCTAAATCGAGGTTAATAAATTAAACAGAATTATCACTAAAAAATGGACAATATGTATTGGAGAAGAAAAAAAAAATTATTCCTCAGATGGAAATTAGTTAGAGGCTCAGTACAAAGCCCTTCTGTTTACACAGAGAGGGCTTCAACAATAAAATATAAGTGGCCTCCAACACCTTCAAGTGGTAATTCGAGTGTGTTTTTGTTTCCTGACAGTTTTATTTATTATACTATTTATTTACAAGAATAATTTAGTATTTACAACATTCTAAAAACTAATACAATGAAAACTAATGCAATGCAATATTTATCATTTACCAATTTACAAAGAAATAAATATGAAAACAATTTTTTATTCATAAATTTATAAACATTTACTAAATTACTATAATATGTAAAACAACTATTATTATTTACCAATTAATAAAGTTTGAATTGATTGGGAATTAGCTGATGATTTGCCAACTATTCCAGTGTTCCAGTCTAAAAAATAAATAGTATAAATAAACAATCTAATAAATGATGTTTATTACTTTTGTTGCTAATTCTCAAGAACAAAAATAAATATATAAATTCACTTGCATCATATGTTTAGGTTTTATTACAATTCTAATCATAACTTTTTAAAACAATAAACATTGCCAAGGAGTGAAGGTAGTTATAATAATAATAGTGGTGTCAAGGGAAAAACCATCCTTTTGACACTGTTTTTTTTGTGGGCATGAAGGTCCAAGTTTGCCCAATTTATGTCTAAAATTATCTTTAGCTCACAGATAAATGGATTATAATTTTACAACTGCAAAGTACTTGTAAAATAACAAAAACTTAAATATTGCCATTTTTTCCCCCAGCATAAGTCAAACAGAAAAGAAATTCTAAGTTAGGTTGGTTGATTTTTTTTTTATTATAGATTTTCGACCCTTTGTGGGTTATTTAAAGCCATAATATATTTCAGATTGTGGGAGGTTGCTTACACTACCTGGTGTTCCCAAGTGGTCTCCCATCCAAGTATTGATCAGGCTCAATGTTGCTTCTCCTCAGGGCTTACAGCCATATCACATTGAAACACCGGTCCCTTATGATCACTAAAGTTAAGCAATGTTGAGCCTGGTCAGTACCTAGATTAATGACCCCTTGGAAATACCAGGTGCTGTAAGTTTGGAAAGGTATGAAGCCAGATTTTTTCCCTGAGCTATGGGTTAATTAGTAAAACCTGTATGAAAAAAATCATCATTACTTCCGCACCAAAAAAAAAAAAAAACAACCAATTCTAACAATCAGAAAATATTTTCTGGTTTAGGATTGAGTTTCCAGTTTCTTCTTTGTCACATACAGTTGCTTCTTGTGTCTTAGTGGCATTATGTCCTTGCCTGGTATGAATTAATTAAAAAAAAAAAAAAAGAAAAAAAAGAAGTTAAATTTTATAAATCATTTTTAAAACATGTACATTCAAGTGACAGTATTCAAACTGATCTCAGTGGCCACTGATTAAGAGTTTGATGGTCATTGGAGGTATGACAGGGTAATGGATAGCGGCTCAGACTGAGGATTCAGAGAGCCAAGTTCAAATGCCAGTCAAGTTTATTACATTCATTTATGTACTAGTACCTTTGGGAAAGGTATGAATCCAACTCTTCACTCCCCAGCTATGGGTAAATAGTAGGACAGACTGGTTCTATGGCCTTGCGTGGCAACCAGTCTAGGAGAAGGAAAACTCTGAATTCAAACCAGCTTGGAGAAGGTTGGGTTCCATCAGACTATCATTCCCAAGACACCATATGTATGCTGTATACGTGGTGCCTTTATGACCCTAATGGGTTATAGGAGTCATGATTATGAGTCACTTGGTGCTCCAATATTCAGGCCTTGAGCCAGACTATGCTGAAATTTATAAATGTGATATTAAGATTTAATTTCATTTTCTCATGACATTTTCTAGTTCAGTTTTTTCTTTGCTGTTTTTTTTTTTTTTTTTTTAAATAAATAATTATCAAACAGAAATGTAAATTAATAACCAACTTTTTGAAACTAATCTCTATCGCTTTTTCTGGAAACAATAATGGAAGGATTGGTGACATTTTTCTTAAGTTAATTTTCATCATCTGGAGAGAGATTTTTCAACAATAATATTTCAAATCTTTTAGCTTTAAACATTCAGAAAAATTTACCATGCATTTGATCTAATCAATATCGATTGAACAAGATAATATTTCTGATTCTTTTTTTCTAACACAACCTTTAGAACGTGGGCGATCATGGCTCTCTACAACTCTTTATCCCTTGTATCATTAAGTAAAGCATGTCTCCTTATCGCTTTCAGTTCCTTTCTTGTTCTGCCATCCATTTATACAAACATTTATATATTAGGTCAGTTACTTGCTGTTTCCATCTGTTCCTCTTCTCTTCAATATGTCCTGTGAGTGTTAAATCCTCTAAACCTTCTTTTCTCATATGTCCTTGAGGACTGTGTGTCCTCAAGGACACATGGCACAGTGGATAAAGGCATTAGTTAGATCTAGTGACAGGACCTAAAGAGTGTGAGTTCAATACCCGGTCAAGGCAGTGGAGAACTTTTAGAGGGAAATTAACAGGAGATAACTGATCACTGACATCCATTAAACATGGTACATGGAACTAGAACAGTCTACCCCAATGAGCAAAATAAAGAGTCCATTTTGACATTCCAACCACCTGAAGAAGGCCGGAGCGTACAACAGCTGAAACGTTGTAATAAATATGGCGACAAAGATGAGGACAATAGTCCAAATAATGTAAATAATGTACATAATATCTCATCTCAGAAATATAGACATATATATAATTGCTTACATCAGCATCTTTCTATAGAAACACAGTTCTGTTGCTTCAAGTATCTTTGAGGAGATTGTCCAGCCTTCACTGCCATATAGTAGGATCAGTATTAGTTAACAGTTTAGTGCTCTTTTCTTTGTTTTTAACAAGATTTTCTTGTTTTTTAATATTTTGCTTTGCTTTTAGAAGGCATCTTTTGCTATTCCAATGTGCCTTTGGATTTTGGTATTGCACTTTCTATCCTCTGTTAAAACATTTAAATTTAAATTGTTGTACTCGCTTGATTTTGGTATTGCCAAGTTGTAATTTGCATGTTGGGCTGTTCCTTTTACTAATACCCATGCATTCTCGCTTCTTGCAATTGATGTTTAGTCCTTTCTTCCTGCTTTCCCTCACTATCTTCTGTAGGAGTTCATGTAGTTTCCTTTCTGTGTCTGCTATCAACACTGTGTCATCTGCAGATCTTATTGTGGCTGGCAATAATAAATCCTGGTAGGACTTCTAATTCTCTCAGAATTAGCTCACTGTATGGGTTAAATAAGTCCAGTGAGAAGGTACATCCTTGTCTTTATGCCCCTTTCTATTTTTGTATATTTACTGAATTCATTTCCTATCTATACACAGCTGGTTTGCTCCTAGTATAAGTTCTAGATTATTCTCATATATTAAGGTTATCTTGTAGTTCAAACACCTCTTTGTGGCATACTTTATCAAATGCTTTGACATAATCTATAAAAACAGAAATCAATTCATTTTCCCCTACTGTATTAATTTCTTTTCACTTGTCAGCAATAAAAAAAAAAAAAACTTGTATTAATGTTATGCAATGTCAACCACACAAGAACAGATTCATGAAAACAATTTCTTTAAAACTCAACTCATGATTTCTTGAGTGTCATGTCCATTAAGGATATATGTGATTATGGCCTTATACACTATATATATATATATATATATATATATATATATATATACTAGCTGCATTGCACATGCTTGATTCAAAAATCATACGACTCATACAGCAATCGCTATCACTTGACTTAAAATATTTTTTCCCTTCCTTGCCTTTAAAGGAGTGCCCTTTGCCATGCTGATGCTGCTACATGCCTTACTTCTTGCCTATCTCACACTGTGAATTTTTTCTAAGCTCTATACTAAACATTAAATCTGTTACGAAAAAAGAACTAAACAAAATGAACACAAAACGATCAGCTTTAAAAAAAGGACTCGTAACTGGAAAAACTGAATGAAAAAAGAATGTTAACAACAAATACTTCTTCTCACCCAACCCACTTCTGCGGAATCAGAATCAACATTGAGTTTAAGCAAGCAAATGAGCCAATTGGAGTAAAGTGCCATGCAGATTTAAATTTTTCTCACTTGTGATGAATGCAGCTATCGATTTTTTTTGCATGCTAGCATGCTAGTTAACATTCATGTCAGTCAGCTGTTGGCTCTCACGCTGGCCAATAGAATCTTCCTGCCTATTTGTGGCAGCCAGCTATAGGTTCTCACTCTGGCCAGTAGAAAATGGCCGCAAACTACATGAAAACTGCCGTAGAAGAATGAAAAAAAATCGATTATTTCCACTATCGATGGGAGTTGGGAAATGCAAAAGTCAGTCTTGGCCTTCCTGCTAACTTGGAGCATGTGCATGTAAATTTTGGTGCAAATCCGTCAAAATTATGGCCGTGCATTACGTTACACACACACACATCCTGCCTTATATATATATATATATATATATATATATATATATATATATATAGAGAGAAACAGACGACAAAAAGACAGAGATGAGTGACAGAGAAGGACAGATGATAGAAAGAGAGGAGAAAGAGACAGATGACAGAGAGAGAGAAAGGAGGACAAATGAGAATAAGAGAGAAGGACAGTTAACAGAGAGGGAGGGAGAGAAAATAAGATAGAAAGCGAATACAGTGATAAAAAGAGAAAAGGCAATGATAAAAAGAGAAATAAAAGGTGATAAAGAAGGATAGAGATTGAAAGAAAGAAATTCCTATTTTCATTGTTAACTGTTAGAATCGCATGCACCTCCAACTAATAAGATTAATTTGTTTCTAAAATAATGAAATGAAATTTTTTTAAAAATCTGATTAAAAAGCTGAAGAATTTTGTAGTTTTGTACAAAAAAAATTATTACAATAAGAAAATATTAAATAAAACTAAAATCAAAATGTGGATGGTACCACAAATTTTAAATGTGATTAAAATCAATTTTATTTTCCTAAAAAAAATAAAATATTTCTGAAGTTAAGGAGTTTTCTGTCATGATTATGATTACAAAAAAAAACAAATTGAATTAACAAAATAGTGAGCTGTTCTAATAATGTTTTAATATTGCACAAAGCTTGTAAAATAGAGCTTATTTTAAAAGTTTGTTTTCCAAACACTATGCTATATTGCCTTCAGACTGACGAAATGTTTTTGGTGTTGGCAGAATCTAGGACAATATCCAAATACAAGTGGAGATAATGAGAAAATGGAAAAGCTATTCAGACAAAAGTGTATAGAAAGTGCTTTAATCGCTAGATCATCCGCTGTAAATTTGTGTCCAGGTTCTTATAATCTTTTTTTAGCAGATCTTGTGTTATCACAATGTTTGATACTTTGTAAGAAAAGAGATAAAAACAAATAAAAATGAAAAGAAATTAATTGAAATTGGTGAGTCTATATACCCAGACATAACTAAAAAAAAAAATTTTTTAATTTCAGCATATCCTAATATTTTCAGCATTTCCTCTCTATGCATAATTATAACCAACAGTTGCATTTTAATATTCCTCCTCCCTTGATAGCCATATCTAATTACATCAACAAAAACATCAGTTTAGTCTGATGAAGTACTAAAGGACAAATCGAAACATAATAAATGTAAATAAAAACAATGTACAGGTAACTCCTGAAGAAGTCAAGGATTGATTTGACACTGTATTTATATTATGAACAGTCAGTCAGTTATGTGCCATGCATGATACACATTTAGGCGATCATGTATCTTTCGATACATGACTGACGAGGCAGATTTTTTTTTTCCATAGTAAGTTGTCATTTCTTTCTGTGGTAGACTAGTTGCCATCAAAGGCTATAGAACCCGATCTGTCTTGCTATTTACCCATAGCTGGAGGGAGAAGAAGAAGAAAATGATGTTTAATGTTACACCAATATTCTCTGTCCAAAGGACCTGCTTTCCTTGAAGGTCATTCAGTTATGTGTCATGCGTGATACACGCTTAGGTGATCATGTATCTTTTGATACATGACTGACAAGGCAGATTTTTCCTGCAGTAGGTTGCTATTTCTTTCTGCCAGTTGCTATCCAAGG